CCAGTCAAGCAAAGCAAAGCAAGCTCAGGGTGGATCACAACGTCACCACACATTCCGAGCACAAGTTCAAGGCCACAAGGCTAGTTCACATGCAAGATCATATTATATAGGTAAACAAGAAAGTGCAGGTATAGAAAGATCACAGTACAAGTAAGGTCAAGAAGTGAGTAAGTGAGGCCAAGTAGGCACAAGACCTAGCATCGTACAGCATCGCTGATGATCACAAGGCGGAAGTGCCTTGGTAAAGATATCAGCAGTGTTGGCTTGAGAGGCCACGTAAGCAAGGCGCAGCTGACCACGCTGCTGCAGCTCACGAGTAAGGAAGTAGCGAAGGGCAATGTGCTTCGTTCTGTGCTCCAGTCTGTGCTCCCGACACAAGGCCAGCATGGCCTTGTTGTCTACGTACAGAACTGGAGAAGAACGAGGCGGCTCTCCTAGGTCAGACAGCAGGTAGGTGAGCCAGCGTAGCTCCTGTGCAGCCATGGCCCCTGCGTAGATCTCAGCCTCAGAGCTGGAGCTGAGAACAGAAGACGAGCGGGTAGCCCGCCACGAAACAGAGCCGGAACCAAGGCTGAAGGTGTAACCCTGTGACGACCGCTGCGTAGCCTGGTCGTCAGCCCAAGAAGCGTCTGCGTGACCTGTGAGGACCAGTGAACGTCGCCCTCCAAGCACTAGCCCCATGCCGGACGTGCTGCATAAGTAGCGCAACACCTTCTTCGTTGCAGCCATGTGCTTTGGTCGGTGTCTCCCAGGAGCAACATAGCGTGCCAAGATGCTAAGAGGGTATGCAAGGTCAGGTCGTGTGCAGGTCATCAGGTACATGAGGTAGCCAACAAGCTCTGGGTACGGGCCACTCGGCTCTACAGACTCATCCGAAGGCAGAGCTGAGAGCGAGTGGCGAGTAGACAGAGGAGTGGCCTGAGGCGAGGAGTACGTGAAGTCGAAGCGCTGAAGGACTTGCTGCACCATGTGTGACTGAGTCATGGTAATGGTGCGCTGTGCTCTGTCCCGGGTGATCTACAAGCCTAGGTAGCTGCGCAGTTCACCCAGGTCTGTGCACGTGTGTCTCTTCTGCAGCTCGGACTTCACGTAGGCTAGTCCAGCAGTGTCAGCAGTGGCAAAGACCAAGTCGTCGATGTACACGAGGATGTAGAAGGGCGACAAAAAGGTGTCGGTGCGTAGAAACAGCGACGGGTTGGCAGTAGAAGGAGCAAAGCCAAGAGCCGCAAGTGTAGTCCTCAGTGTGTCGTGCCACTTACGGGGCGCCTGGCGGACCGTAGACCGGCTGCCGGAGGCTCCACTGGGTACCAGGAGGAAACGACCCAGTGAAGCCAGGTGGGCGGCGCAGCCAGATCTCCTCGTGCAAGCTGCCCTGCAAGAAAGGTGTGCTGAAGTCAAGAGAGTGAAGCTCGTAGTCGCGCTAAGCGGCTATGTGCAGCAGCACCCGAAGAGTGGTCATCTTTGGGGTGGGAGAGAAGGTCTGAAAGTAGTCAACCCCTGCCACTGTTTGAAGCCTCGAGCCATGTAACGCGCCTTGAAGACAGGCGGAGAACTTGGCGGCCGCTTCACCTTGAAGATCCACATGCCACTGACGATGTTCGCCCCAGGTGGGGGAACCTCGTCGAAATAGGTGCCTGTGGACTTCCAGGAAGCCATCTCTGCGTCCATGGCTGATTGCCACTGTGAGGAGTAGGGACCCTTGATCGCCTCAGCGTACGATTGAGGAGTTGGGATGTCTAGTGCATCCGGGTCCTCCCTCAGGTGCAATTAGCATGGATACAAGATGAGGCAAAGCAGCAGCAAAACACAGAAACTCCTCCTGCCTGTCCTCAAAGACGTCCGTACTAGGAGCACACTCACTCCCGACGGACGGAGGACAGACAGACTCAGACTCAGCAACAAGACTAGCAGCGTATTCTAGACGACGGCGAACAACAAAGTCGACAAGCTCAGCAACTAGGGCATACGCAGCAGTGGACTCAAAGGAAGGGTCAGTGACAACAGTAGCCAAGAGACGCGTGATAGTAGGACTGGCAGCACGAAGAGAGTCAGACTCTGGGTCAGCAAGAGCAAGAAGAGAGGACTCTGGAGGAGATGGCAAAGGGACACGCAGTGGAGCAATGGAAGGATGTAGCACCATCTGGTGTGTGCCTGGGACCGCAAGGATGACGTGGACGCGGATCACGACGACTAGTGCGAGCAGCTCGAACAGGCGACGCAAGACGAGATACAAGCTCACGAGGCTCAGCAAGACCTCCAGTGGGACCAGCGTAGGGACAAGGAGCAGGCAGCGGGGAGGCGGGCTGTAACTGCGACTCAGACTGGGCAGGCGGCGGAAACTCTAAGGAAATAGCAGGACCTGTAGAAGGCGGGAGACCAAGAACCTGCTGAAGGAGCGGAACCAAGTACGGCCGCGGCCGCGCATCGCCTCGAGAGCCAGGAGGGACAGCACCAGCACCCCCAGTGGCAACACCAGCACTAGTAGCACCCCCAGCCACAGCACCGCCAACTCCAGCACCCTCAGAAGCACCTGCGCCATCAGCACCTCCAGCGCCAACACCCCCAGCAGCTCTAGCTCCAGCCGGACCACCGGAAGACTCAACAGCCATAGCGCCAGCACCTCCAGCAGCACCTACTCCAGCAGCACCGCCAGCTTGCTCCAGGACAAGGAGCTTCCTTAGGCCCAGCAGCTCCAGTACCCCCAGTACGAACACCTCCGGGACCCGTGGCACCAACACCCTCACTAGCAGCAGAACCTCCAGCTCCAGCAGCACGGCTCCAGCGCCGAGCAAACCACTCGCGCAGCTCCTGTGGAGAGGGCGGCTCCCGCCGGGACAAAGCACCCGAGGGACCTCCAGACCCAGTACCGCCAGACTCCACACGAGCAGGCCCAGCACCCTCAGGCTCCGTACCCCAAGGCTCAGAACCCCCAGACTCAACACCCCAAGGCTCAGCACCCCCAGACCCAGCACCCCCAGACTCAGCACCCCCAGGCTCAGCACCCCTACACCCCGCACCCGCAGGCTCAGCACCCCTAGCAGCACCAGAGTCAACAGCCACTTCGACAGGCTCTACTGCGTCTACCTGAGACACACCTGAGGGGGTAGGACCCTGAGGGGGAAGGGGGTCAACCTGGGGGGGACCTGGCGCGAGGAAGAGCGGCGGCGGGGGGAGGGGCGCTGTGCGGTAGGGGAAGAGCGACTCGTCAAACGTGACGTCTTGGGAGGACAGAACACGGCGCGAGGTGGGGTGGTAAAACTGCCAACTTGGCGCGTCAGGGGGGAAGCCAAGGAAGACAGAGGGAACAGCACGGGGGGACAGCTTGTTCGCAGACAAGTCGCGGACAAACGCCCAAGATCCCCAGACACAGAACGCAGACGCATCGTCAACCTTTCCGGTCCATTTCAAAGCAGGGGAGGTCTCCGGCATGGAGACCCGAGGCTGAAGGTTGATCTGATGCGCCACGTACTAAACCGCTATCGGCCACAGAAAATGGGGGGCAACGGCATGGACCATGGACGCACGAGTGACGTCCATGACCATGCCAATGCGGCGCTCAGCAATCCCATTTTGCTGTGGAGAGGCCGGAAGCGTGAACGTCTGGCGAATGCCTCTTGCACGACAGAAGGCTCGCAGAAGGTTAGAGGAAAACTCAGCGCCTCTCTCCGAATGCAGACGCAAAACATGAAAGTCCGAGCTATAACTCTCTCTAAGCTGGAGACGAGCAGCGCGGATCCAGCCGATCAACACCTCAGTGACCTCACCCTTGGTGTGCAAGGGGAAGACTGTGGTGTAACACGAGTAGTTGTCAACCATCAGCAGGAAGTAATGCTCGTGACCCTATCCACGGACGCGGGCTGGGCCCCACACGTCCATGTGCAGCGTCTGCAGCAAAGCCTCTGTCGGACGAAACTCAGAGAAGTGAAGAGCAGCACGCTGCCTCCCCTCGACGTAGGGAACGCAGGTAGGGGCAGGCCCCGCAGGAAGAGGAGGGAGGGACCGGGGGAGACCAGAGACAAGGACACGGGAGGCCATACCTCGGAGACGAGGCAGCAAGGGGTGACCAAGGCGGTGGTGCCAGAGGAGAGTCTGGTGAGACAGGAGACGACACGAGCAGGGGGCAGACGCAGGACCAGACCTGGACGCCGTAGCAGACACCTGACCAAACGCAGCTACCTGACCAGACGCAGAGACCGGAGGAGACTCAGTAGTCAGTATCTACGGGCTCGACCACGGTCGACGGGTAAACGTGGCCAAGTGTCGGCGCGTCCGAGTGGGTCACTCGCTGACTCGCAGGAGTGAACTGGTCAACCCCCTCATCCTGTAGGTCAGCACCACTCACCAAGTTCGTAGAGAACGAGGGGAGGTAGAGACCTGACAGGGTGCCAGAAGGGGCCGCCGGACACAGTAAGACAGTGGAGAAGTGGGCAAGGACAGGACCCTCAGAGGGGTCTGCGAGGGAGATCACAACTGGCCGACTAAGCGGCGTGAGTGTGGTGCGGTCTCGAAAGAAAGAGCGGGAAGCACCCGTGCCAAGGGTGAAGGTGTGGGAGGCTGGAGTCGACGTTGTACCTGAGAGAGCAGACTCACAAGCACATGAGTCAGCAGACTCATCAGCACCTAGAGCGGCAGCCTCACCAGCACCTAGAGCAGCTATCCCAATGCCCGGGTCAGGCGAAACACACAGGTAATAGTCACCCTCATCACTAGTAGACACAACATACATGGCAGCAAGAATAGCATCATAATCAAGATCAAAGATAGCAACCCCCGACCTCTGCAGCTCTCCCCAGCGAGGGATCTTAGTGGCGTAAGGGAAATGGAGACGCCACGCGTCCGTCAGGCAGCCGAAGCAGCGCTGGGTGGGGTGCGGGCCCCTGCGCTGCTCACCCGTACGGTCGCCGGTACGCAGGACCAGCACCCCCACCCCGCTGATGCAAAGCGTACCACTCACTAGTGCGCTGCTGCTGCTGGCGCTGACCACCACCAGAGCCGCCCCTCTACGCAGAGCCGCCCCGACCACTCCCACCGCTGCTGCCGCCACCTCCGCCGCCGCCGCCACCTCCGCCTCCTCCGCTCCCACCACCACCGCCGCCGTCTCCTCCGCCTCCACTGCCGCCACCGACGCCCCCACCCCCGCCACCACTCCCACCACCGCCCCCACCCCCTCCACCGCCTCCACCGCCACCTCCACCGCCCCCGCCAGCTCCTCCAGCACCCTTGCACCCCTTGCCCTTGCTGGTGCGGCGTCTCCCGCTAGGGGCAGACGCAGCTCCAACCGACTCGAGGCCAACGAGGTCGGCCGCACCAGTAGAGGCAACAGAGGGCAGGAGGGGGGAGGGGGAACACCCCTCAAAGAAGGGAGTACGAGGGTCACCACGAGAGGCTCCTACAGCAACTATGCTCTTCTTAGCTGCCAGGAGGCGCTCCGCAAGGAGGTCCACGGTGAGTGTGGCGGGGCAAACAGAGAGGAAGTGGTCCCTGACCGAGCAAAGCAAAGGGAGTCAGGGAGCCGGGTGACTATGTAGTAGAGGGTCATGTACTAGGGGGGGGGGGGGTTCTTGGTGCAGAAGTCAGCAGGAAGCGCAGCGCGGTAGCGAGTGTCACTAGTGCGAAGGTGGGTAACTAGGTCACCGACTGTGGAAAAGGCGGCGAGGTCAGGGAACAGGTACGGCAGCATGAGGCGACTAAGAGCAGCAGTGGTAGGGGAAGAGTAGCGTGAAACTACAGCGTTGTATAGGGTCTTAGCGCTTTTATACTGACCAAAGTGCGCGTGCTCAGAGGACGGCAAGTGACTACGAACAGCAAGACGGGCAGCAGCATCACGTGTGGCCCACTGTGAGCGAACAGTGCTGTCAGCATCGGCAGGAGGTGCAGGAGAGGCGCCAGACGTGAGATCGAACAGGGAGAGACCATCTGTCCTAACGCACTGTAGGCAAAGCTGTAGGTCATCTACCCAGACCTCAAAGTCGACAGCCCGACCCTCAGCATCAAAAGTGAGAACGTTAGGAGCAGCCATGGCAGCAATGGCAGCAGCAGGCGAGCACTAAGAGCAGGGCGGTAAGGCGCTGCTCAGGAGTGCTCTTACAAGGGCGGGTAGGTAGAGGCCCGCAGGTGGTGAGGAAGAGCCGAGGCGCGCCGGCAGGGACAGGGCCGCAACAGTGGCGGCGGCAGCGGCTGTGGCGGCGGCTGCGGCTCGACAGGTGCGGCGGCTGCTGCTGTAGTCAACGGCCGCGGCGACCGGGGCCTCGGCTGTGGCTGCTGCGGCGGCTGCTGTCTCGGCTGCAGCGGCGGCGGCTGCAGCTTTGGGAGCGGCAGCGGCGGCTGCAACGGCGGCGGCGGTCGGCAGCAGATGCGGCTGCAAACGGCAGCGGCGGTGGCTGCAGTGGTAGAGGTGGCCGCTGCTGCTGCTGGGACTGGGGAGGGGCCGCGTAGGGCGGCGACGGGGCCGCGAAGGGGCCACGAGGGGCCGAGAAGAGCGGGGACGGGGCTGCGTAGGGCAGCGACGGGGCCGTGAAGGGCGGTGACGGAGCCACGAAGGGCGGTGACGGGGCCCCAACGGGCGGCGACAGGGCCGCGAGGGGCGGCAACTTAGCCGCTAGGGGCGGCGACGAGGCCGCGAAGGGCGGAGACGGGGCTGTAACGGGCGGCGACGAGGCCGCTAGGGGCGGCGACGGGGCCGCGAAGGGTGGCGACGGGGCCGCTAGGGGTGGCGATGGGGCCGCGAGGAGCAGCGACGCGCCGCGAAGGGCGGCGACGGGCCGCGAAGAAGCAGCGACGAGGCCTTCTGCGAGCCTACTGTCGTGCACGAGGCGTCCGCCAGACCTTCACGCTTCCGGACTCTCCACAGCAAAATGGGATTGCTGAGCGCCGCATTGGCATGGTCATGGACGTCGCTCGTACGTCCATGATGCATGCGGCTGCCCCCCATTTTCTGTGGCCGTTTGCGGTTCGGTACGCGGCGCATCAGCTCAACCTTCACCCCAGGGTCTCCCGGCCGGAGACCTCCCCAGCTCTGCTGTGGACGGGGAAGGTCGGCGATGCGTCTGCGTTCCGTGTCTGAGGATCTCGGGCGTTTGTCCGCGACTTGTCTGCGGACAAGCTGTCCCCTCGTGCTGCTCCCTGTGTCTTCCTAGGCTTCCCCCCTGACGCCCCAGGGTGGCAGTTCTACCACCCCTCCTTTCGTCGTGTTCTGTCCTCCCAGGACGTCACGTTCGACGAGTCCGTCCCCTTCTACCGCCTCTTCCCCTACCGCACTCCTTCCCTCCCCCCGCCACCGCACTTCCTTGTGCCAGGTCCCCCCCCGGTAGACCCCCTTCCCCCTCAGGGTCCTGCCCCTTCAGGTGTGTCCCAAGTAAATGCAGTCGAGCCGGTCGAGGTTGCTGGTGACTCAGGTACTGCTGGGGGTGCTGAGCCTGGGGATGCTGACTCTGGGGGTGCTGAGTCTGGGGGTGCTGAGCCTGGGGGTGCTGCCTCTTGGGGTTCTGAGCCTGGGGGTGCTGAGCCTGGGGGTGCTGATTCTGGGGGTGTTGTGCGCGTGGGTGCTGAGCGTGGGGGTGCTGAGCCTGGGGGTGCTGTGTCTGGAGCTGCTGAGCCTGAAGGTGTGGAGCCTGCGGCCACTGGACCTCCCCTTGTGGCGTCTGGCGGTGCTGGGCCTGGAGGTTCTCCGGGTGTTTCGTCTTGGCGGGAGCCACTCTCTCTACAGGAGCTGCGTGAGTGGTTTGCTCGCCGGTGGAGGCGTACTGCTAGAGCTGGCGCTTCTTCGGCCGCGGAGGGTGCTGGTGCCGCCGGTCCCGGAGCTGCTGGGCCTGCGGGTCCGCCTGGAGCTGGAGCTGCTGAGGGTGTTGGTTCTGAGACTACTATTGTCTATCTTGGTGCTGGTCTTGCTGCGGGTGCTGCTGGTGCTGCTGGAGGTCCTGCCGCTGGAGGTGTTGTTGGCGCTGGTGCTACCGGAGGTGCTAAGGGTGCTGGTGCTGTCCGTGCTGTGTCTGGTGCCGCCGCGACGCCTCGGCCGTACTTCGTTCCGCTCCTGCAGCAAGTTCTTCGTCCTTCTCCTCCTGTAGAGTGTCCACCATCAGTCTTGTCACAGTCACAGTTAGAGCCTGCCTCCCCACTGCCTGCTCCCTCTCCTTACACTGGTCCTACTGGAGGTCTTACTGAGCGTCGTGACCCTGCGTCTCGTCCCGCGTCGCCTGTCCGTACTGCTCGCGCTAGTGGTCGTGGTTCGCGTCAGCGTCCTCCTCCTGTCCGTGGCAAGCACCGGATGTCTCTGCGTCCCTCCACTGCTCCTCTGCATGCACCTTTACCTTCTCCTCCTGAGTCCTCTGTTCCTGCGCTTGCCGACCCGACGTCGGACTCCCTTCGTGCTGCCAGTCCTACTGTCACGCGTCTCCTTGCTACTGTAAGCATTGACCCCTCTTTTGAGTCCAGTGCTGCGTCTGCTCTTGTTGCTGAGCTCGTCGACTTGCTGCTCGCTGTCGTCTGGACTACGCTGCTAGTCTTATTGCTGAGTCTGCGTCTCTCTATCCTCCGTCCGTCGGGGGTGAGTCTGCTCTTGGCACGGACGTCCTTGAGGACAGGCAGGAGGAGTTCCAGTGTCTGGCTGCTGCTTCACCTCATCTCGCGTCTGTACTGCTTGCCCCTGAGGGGGACCCGGATGCACTAGACATCCCGACTCCGCGCTCTTACGTGGAGGCCGTAGAGGGTCCCTACTCCTCTCAGTGGCAGGCAGCTATGGATGCAGAGAAGGCTTCCTGGAAGTCCACAGGCACCTACGTTGACGCGGTTCCCCCTCCTGGGGCGAACATCGTCAGTGGGATGTGGATCTTCAGGGTGAAGCGGCCGCCGGGTTCTTTGCCTGTCTTCAAGGCGCGGTACGTGGCTCGTGGCTTCAGTCAGCGGCAGGGAGTTGACTACTTTCAGACCTTCTCTCCCACCCCAAAGATGACCACTCTTCGGGTGCTGCTGCACATAGCCGCTCAGCGAGACTACGAGCTCCACTCTCTTCACTTCAGCACTGCTTTCTTGCAGGGTAGCCTGCACGAGGAGATCTGGCTGCGTCGTCCACCTGGCTTCACTGGGACTTTCCCTCCTGGCACCCAGTGGAGCGTCCGTCGGCCACTCTACGGTCTCCGCCAGGCACCGCGTGAGTGGCACGACACACTGAGGACTACGCTTGCGGCTCTTGGGTTTGCTCCCTCTACTGCTGACCCGTCGTTGTTTCTGCGCATCGACACTTCTCTGCCGCCGTTCTACATCCTTGTGTACGTCGACAACTTGGTCTTTGCCACAGCGGACACTACTGGACTCGCCTACGTGAAGTCCGAGCTGCAGAAGAGACACACGTGCACAGACTTGGGTGAACTGCGCAGCTACCTTGGCTTGCAGATCACTCGGGACAGAGCACACCGCACCATTACCTTGACTCAGTCACACATGGTGCAGCAGGTCCTTCAGCGCTTCGGCTTCACGTACTCCTTGCCTCAGGCCACTCCTCTGTCTACTCGCCACTCGCTCTCAGCTCTGCCTTCGGATGAGTCCGTAGAGTCGAGTGGCCCGTACCCAGAGCTTGTTGGCTGCCTCATGTACCTGATGACCTGCACACGACCTGACCTTGCATACCCTCTTAGCATCTTGGCACGCTATGTTGCTCCTGGGAGACACCGACCAGAGCACATGGGTGCAGCGAAGAGGGTGTTGCGCTACTTGTGCAGTACGTCGGGCATGGGGCTAGTGCTTGGAGGGCGGAGTCCAGTGGTCCTCACTGGGCACGCGGACGCTTCTTGGGCTGACGACCAGGCTACTCAGCGGTCGTCGCAGGGTTACACCTTCAGTCTTGGTTCCGGCTCTGTTTCGTGGCGGGCTACTCGCTCGTCTTCTGTTCTCGGCTCCACTTGTGAGGCTGAGATCTACGCCGGGGCCATGGGTGCTCAGGAGCTTCGCTGGCTCACCTACGTGCTGACTGACCTTGGAGAGCCGCCTCGTTCTCCTCCAGTGCTGTACGTAGACAACAAGGCCATGCTGGCCTTGTGTCGAGAGCAGCGCCTGGAGCACAGAACAAAGCACATTGCTCTCCGCTACTTTCTTGCTCGTGAGCTGCAGCAGCGTGGTCAGTTGCGACTTGCGTACGTGGCCTCAGAGGCCAACACTGCTGATGTTTTCACCAAGGCACTTCCGCCTTGTGATCATCAGCGCTTCTGCACTTAGCTGGGACTTGTCCCAGTCTTGCCTCACTTGCTCACCTCTTGACCTTACTTGTACTCGTGCATATATATATACCTACTCTTGCTTGTTTAGACTTATATATATATGTCTCCTCCTGCATGTGAACTGGCCTTGTGGCCTTGACCTTGTGCTCAGACTGTGTGGTGACGTTGTGATCCACCCTGAGCTTGCTTTGCTTGACTGGTCTTGTGACCCCTTGTTCTCCCCCACTTTGCCTATGGGGGTGTGTCAGAACATTATAGCTTATGCTTTTGTGTAGGCTATAGTGGGGTATCCCATAAGGGGTACAACCCTAATTAGGGTTAGTACTTGTACCCACTTCACTCATAGTTCATTCATTCGCGTTCATTTCTTCACAGGGGTGGCGCGAGGGGCCGTAAGAGGGGCCTCTAGGAGGGCGCGACGGGCCGTTAAGAGCAGGGGACGCGACGAGAGGGCGGTCCACGGGGCGCGCCTCGGGCAGGGGCGACTCACGCTCCGGTCAGATTTTTTTTTTTTTTTTTTTTTTTGATTTTCGGTGGTGGGCCCTAGGAAGCGTTCCCACCAGGGAACCTGCTCTATACCATGTGAAGAAAATGAGGAATGAATGACTAAGGGAAAAGTTGGGATACAAGTACAAACCCTAGAAATGTGTTGTACCCCATATGTGCTACCCCACAATAGCCTACATAGGCTAAGTCGTATAAGTCTGACAAGATATATTGTAGAATTCATCTTGGTATTGTGTAGTCTAACGAGCTTTATTAGAGAATCTTTCTTCTGACCTATTCTGACCTATATTAAAGTATAAGAATA